AGAAAGTGCTTTCACTCGTTAATCAGATTCTGCCATTAAATCATCAAGGAGAAAGATGAAATGAGACGATTTTCAATGTGAAACAAGATCGATGGCCGATGAAAATTTATTGCAACTAAACCAAAATAAGAATTCCTCGATTTTGTCACATGAAATCTCACATACAGATTAATAATTTAATATTTAAACCCCCTATGTCTTCTTCTCTCTTTATGCAAGAGCCATAGATGATCGTCAAACTTCAAGATACTACAAATTAAAGAATTAAATGTAATAGACCGAATCTATGAAAATAATAGAAGAACAGTTAACAATCAGAAATGATTTGAAAGTTAAAACAAAATAGAAGGACCAACCAAATATGGCAATATGTATACTTAAAACAGGTTCTTATTTTATTTTATAAATTCATATTTATTTTCATTCAATAAGTAACCTGTCCATTCTCAACATCAAGACCATACAACACGCCAGCATATTTTTCAGTCAAACCATTAAAGAAATTCTCGTTCAACTTGATGAATGTACAAGAAGTAAGCAAACTATCAAAACCAGCTTGATGACAAATGCCGACGCGCTCCACTTCTTAAAGCTCTGCAAGGTTGTTCAGTCCACCATGAAGGCTGTTGCAGAACCGAATCAGATGCTTCATATCATAGACAATTGGGAAGTACATCTTGATCAAATCCAAGTATCCCGCCCGAGTATCCGGTAGACTCTAGCAAGTCAACAGCTTCAGCAAGTACCCAAAATCATAGGCACTATGAAAAGTCACCCAATGCACATTATCATTCAACACTATCCCCGATGACATCATAAGGTCACTAAAGCGATAAGCATCAATACCTTGCTCAATATTTTTCTCGAAATCAATGCCACTATGAGTTAACAGCTCTATAGAGTCATGTGCATAAACGTCCTCATCACGATCAAACTCACGAAAATTGAATTGCCAAATATAGTATTTACCAATTCCACATGTGGGAAGGTTTTCCTTCTCATCGAAAAAGGTGAGGCCTAACTGAATTACCTTAAGAAGATCCACGTTGACCTTCAGTGTGTGAAAATGATACTCAGACGAGCTCTTAAAATTGCCCAAGGGACGAAGAGCAATACCCGAAAACTCAGTGTCTATAGCAATGTAAGGGAAGTCATCTACGATACCGCGAATCAAAGCAAACTCACATTCCAGATTGCCATTCCAGACCTCCCTTATATGAATTGTATCGCTAGTAGGCAAAATCACCAGCACGGAGGCACGCACGCTGGTACACCGTGCGCAACGTGCCTCCGTACACGCGGACGGAGGCACGCTCCTTCAACTCTATTGGTTGTAGAAAATACCTAAGATTGGAAAAAAAAAAAGGGGGGGAATTAGAATCATACATCATGCTGAAAAACACACAATAGCAAATCTGCATGCTCTTTTTTGTCTGATATTATTGTCTTGGAGATTTCCAGGTTGTAGCACTGCGGGAAACTAAGAGGGCTCTGGAACGTCAAACCAAGTTGAAAGAAGCAGCACTGCTTGTAGCGAAAAAGATACTGATGAATTTTTGAGCTCTAAAAAGTTTTCAATCTCATAAAAATTCAAACTCCTTCGTCACCAATTCAAATTTCCCACAACCCTAATCGAGAATTACCTACCCAATTCAGGAAAAAGACATAACACTGAAAACATCGTACACCCAACCTCAAACAAAAAAATAGACAAACCTTGAGAGTTGTTTTGACACTCCTGCTTTTGAGACAATAAAACACAGGCCAAGCAACAATTTTTAGGATTGCAAAAGTGAAACACAGGCTTCTTGCAAAGAGTGCAGTAGGAAATAAGCCGACAAAGTAGGAAATATCGCAATTGTAGATTTGCAAAGAGTGCAGTAGGAAATAAAAGGGGAAAGCAAAAAGTAATTGGGAAATACGACGTCGTTATGGTTGACGATCCATTTTTATGACATCTGGCATCAACAGTGGATTTCAACTGCCTCTTTTATTTTGGTAAGGAAACACAGGCTTCTTGCAAAGAGTGCAGTAGAAAATAAGCCGACAAAGTAGGAAATATCGCAATTGTAGATTTGCAAAGAGTGCAGTAGGAAATAAAAGGGGAAAGCAAGAAGTAATTGGGAAATACGGCGTCATTTTGGTTGACGATCCATTTTTACGACATTTGGCATCAACGGTGGATTTCAAACTGCTTCTTTTATTTTGTTAAAAGTGAAACACAGGCTTCTTGCAAAGAGTGCAGTAGGAAATAAGCCGACAAAGTAGGAAATATCGCAATTGTAGATTTGCAAAGAGTGCAGTAGGAAATAAAAGGGGAAAGCAAGAAGTAATTGGGAAATACGGCGTCATTTTGGTTGACGATCCATTTTTACGACATTTGGCATCAACGGTGGATTTCAAACTGCTTCTTTTATTTTGTTAAAAGTGAAACACAGGCTTCTTGCAAAGAGTGCAGTAGGAAATAAGCTGACAAAGTAGGAAATATCGCGATTGTAGATTTGCAAAGAGTGCAGTAGGAAATAAAAGGGGAAAGCAAGAAGTAATTGGGAAATACGGCGTCATTATGGTTGACGATCCAGTTTTACGACATCTGGCATCAACAGTGGATTTCAAACTGCCTCTTTTATTTTGTTAAAAGTGAAACACAGGCTTCTTGCAAAGAGTGCAGTAGGAAATAAGCCGACAAAGTAGGAAATATCGTGATTGTAGATTTACAAAGAGTACAGTAGGAAATAAAAGGGGAAAGCAAGAAGTAATTGGGAAATACGGCGTCGTTATGGTTGACGATTCATTTTTACGACATCTGGCATCAACATTGAATTTCAAACTACCTCTTTTATTTTGTTAAGGAAATAGATAAATTATTTGTTATACTTTTCGTTTGTGGATCGTACAGCCTCGTTGTTATAATTACAAATATGTCATTATAAATAATTGCACACACATACCATTTACTAAAATAACAAATCACACCTTAAATATTATATTTTATAACATATATATATTACATGCTATTTCTAATTATTGATTTTTCATTAATTTTTTTTCTCTTTAAAGGGTTATTATTATTATTATTATTATTATTATTAT